TGTGTGTGTGTGTGTGTGTGTGTGTGTGTGTGTGTGTGTGGGAAGTTAGATTTTTGCTGAGTTAGAATCTGCAGAAAACTCACTTATCAGCAGGATGGACACACACACTCACTCATTGACATTCAACACTCTGTATCTCTTCCCCTCTCTCTCTCTCTTTCTCTCTTTCTCTCTCTCTCTCTCTTGATTCATTTTTCATTTCAGTCTGTTTTCCACACAATTCTGCCAAAATATAAATCAAAACAGGAACAAAATATGTCTTGTATGCCAACAAAAAAGTATCATTTAAAAAAAAAAACAAAGGATAACTTTTGCGTTTATACAGTTTAAATATATTTACATTTTCTGAAATAAATGTGGAGTGTTTAAAATATTTTTTTACTAAAATGTGGCAACAAGCAAGGTTATTATAGTTTACTAAAAAAAATAAAACCATTAAAAAATTGTTACTTGAAATAAAATAAACGTTAATTGAAATAAAATAAAATGTAAAAACTAATTTTATTTTTAATTGCCAAAGCATTCTTATTTTAATTTAGTTTAACTTGATGTTCTAAAATAACAAAACCTAAAACTAAAATAAAAATTATTAAAATTATATAGAAATGACATGAAAATGGGAAATATAAAAATATAATAATCAATCAAACAATCAAGCAGTCGTGTAAAGCATCAGGCCTGCGTTCACTGAGCTGCTGTAGTGGAGGATGAGTTTGTAACTGTCCTGCATCAGCTGTATCGCTGGGAAACACAATAACGTCTCTGTCTGCAGGAAGTATAATATTCGTGTGGAGGACATCATGGTCAGAGATGTTCGTTATATCACACTGAACTCCACCTACAGAGACCTTCACGAGATCCTCCTGATAGGAAACCTCAAAACGGTGGCGCTGGTGGAGTCTGCAGGTACAAACACATGCTCGCTCTATATGTACATTATATTTATAAATTTACATATGCATGGCTGGTTTGTCTTTTTAGTTTGCACTTTTTTCCAAATGTTTGTTTTGTAGTAATTGATACATTTATATTTGCTTTAAAATGTTAGTTTTTGTAGGAAAAATTATCAAACAAATAAGTCAAAAAGGTTGTTATTGACAATTGTGTGCATGTGTAAGAACTGAAAAAATAGAATGTGGTTCAAATAATTAAAAATAATTATTATAATAATGAGGAAATTACAGACATTTGATGTGTTTGAAACATATATTATGTATGTGTGTATATACAGTATATATATATATATATATATATATAAGACAAGACACTTAATTACATGCATATACAGTTAGGTCCATATATATTTGGACACAGGCACAATTGTTATTATTTTAGCTGATGACCAAAACATATTAAAGTTAGAGTTATATAATGAAAATGGGTTTAAAGTGCACACTCTGAGCTTTAGTTTCTCATCAAAATTGGAGGAAAGGTTCAGAAATGACAGCTCTTTAATATGTACCTCCCCCTTTTTCATGGGACCAGTCAACTGTCCAATTACTTATGGTCCCTTGAAAAAGGGGGAGGTACATATTAAAGAGCTGTAATTCCTTAACCTTTCCTCCAATGTTAATGTGAATACTCTCAAATATAAGCTCAGAGTGTGCACTTTAAGCTCATATTCATTATATAACTGTTACTTGAATATGTTTTGGTCAGCAGCTAAAATAATAAAAAATTGTGCCTGTGTCCAAATATATATGGACCTGACT